GGAAAGAGGACAGTAGAATGGCAGCTTTGGTGCAGACAGGACAGCTGCATTTGTGGTGATGAGTTGGTGTGAAAGTGACAAGAGAACCCCGTTGAGTTGATATCTTATTCTTCTCCACTGCCCTGCTGCACCTTAGGAAAGAAACAGAGTATTTTTAAATATGAAAATGATACCTTCACCCATGCAAAAATACCCTTCAGCACAAAAGAATAAATGAAAATTTCTTAAAATATGATGAATTTCATTAGACTTTGTTGTATCCAAAATTGCTGTTCCTAAGGTAATCTTCACTGTTTTTGTTGGATGGTTGAACATATTCTTCAAGTGTTATATCTGTTTACACTGTTTAAGAAATGTCATCAGGGAACAGAATTTGTACTGTTTGACTTGTAGAACCAGTCACATAGCAGGAAAAGTGAATTCCAAGAATTAAATCCACAAGTGCATAGTTATAATTAGCAGTTCATGTACATCCAATTGTATTTGCTTTGCTTAAAAACAGGGAATGCTAAACAACTATGAATGACACAGGAAGATTATATCTTGCTTGTAAACAGCCTAAATGTGCAAATTAAGCCAGTTACTTGTGATTGGAATTTAACCAGATCTAAGTGTAAGAAACAGATGTCCTCTATTTCTGTATGTACTCCAATGCATTTTTTTTACATAAAAATGATTTTGTTATTGTTCAGATGCAGCCAGGAAATCCTGAGAAAAGACTGATAACTGATTCTGTCCACTATCTTGCATCTTATAGAGAGGCCTTCACTTGTGTAAAACAGGCATAAAACGCTACCACAGTGATGCAAGTGTAAATGACAACGTGAGAGAGCCATGTGTAAAAGCTTGTAAACGTTTGTAGTTGCCGGGCTTGCCTCACCGTGCCTGAGAGATGTCTCCGCTGAGCTATACTTTGGGTGTGCATGTGAAAATGAATTCGCTTAGAGTGAGTAAGCCTCTGGGCTCATTTTTTCCCAACACTTTTGTGTAATCACTAGAGCGTGCCACCTCCTTTAGCTAATATTTGCAGTAACTTTATATGTTAAAACAAGGCTGTGCAGTAGCTGTTGGTAGCTTAACCATGTGGCTGCAAAATTAACCTTTGACCTTTCTCAGCCTAATCAGGAAATTGACTTTAGGAGTTATTCCTTAACCCGGGATATGTGGTTAAAGTTAAACATCACTAATAGGAAGTCTAGTAACAGGAAACGTGCAAATGCTAATCCATACAAACATAAACAAACCTTTGGCTTACATACAGTCTTACTGGAATTTTTCTTGTGACTCCGTTTCCTTCAGTAAGTCAGTAAAAAGTACCGCTTGTTAAAGTCTTGAAAAACTTTGGCCTTCCTGTGGCTACTTCTATCATAGATTTATTGGATTTCTACTTAAAGAAGCCTTAAAACTGGGGATAAGGTTTTGTGAAGAGTCATCCCTGGGCAGATAGATACACACAATTCACCTTCAGTGTTGTTCTGATTAATGATTGAGGCTACCTTTAAGGTTATTCACCAGAAGCCTCCACTTCCTAAAGTTCAAATCCAGATTTTTTCCTGCAAAGGATTATCTAAGAGCGTTTCTTTTTGCAGGACTTAAAAATTGGATGGTTTGGAGAAAAAAAAAAAGTTTGCAAAAATACCTATTTTCAGAAGATTATTTTGGAGCGTTTTTAGAAATAAAATAATCAGAAAATGACTGAGATGAATACAATTCCAGTACAGAAAATTACCTGTGAGAATTTGAAGCACTTTCATTGTTCTCACTGGTTTCCTGTTACATTTCAATAGGAAAGTAGGCTAGAGTAACTTGAAACTATATGCTAACCAGTTAATCACTTTAGATACAAGTGTAGACTTTAGCTTGGAAAACCTTTCTTTGAGTTTTACTTTGGTCTTCATACAAAATCCACAAAACCTTCACATTCACATTGAGCTCCACTGAGTTCAATAGGATATTGTGTATGTCCACTGACACAGATCAGCTTTCAGGATTAGGGCCAAAGTCATTTTTCTGGGAGGAGTTTCCTTGAAGTTAGGAGGAAGATCTCAGGGGAGCAGAACAAAAGCCTACTGTGAAAAGATTCTCAACACAGAAAAGGACAAGATACTTAACTGTAAAACAGTAGCCTACAATGTCTGTATTTCCGCTCTTAAACTCTCCAGAATGAGTAAATCAGTGATTTTCACAAAAACAAGCAAAATTTTTACCGTGCATATTAAACAGGAGGTATGTGTGGCAGCAGAATAATTTCTTAATGATGTACGTTCACTTTGTGGGTATTTACCAAATTGGCTCTCTCCGATTTAGGAAAATGTATGTGTACAACTCATGGCATTACTTTACGGATAATCTTATTCCCAAGAGAACATTTCAAATAAAGTTCTTAAAAATGTGCAATCATGTTAGCTTCAATAACAATTTTATTGCATGAAAAATGAAAATCAGATGATTATCTAAAGCATATTTCGTGATTAATATCTCTGTAGTAAACTGTAGATGTATCACATTAGTCCAATCTTATTAAATAAAGTTTTGACAAATTCAGTTTACCCTGATACGATGTCTCCTCTTGAGTTTATGAAGGCCTCTCTTTGGGGAGGGGGGAGGGCTGTAGAGTTTAACTCCCCTTTGAGTACTGAGTATTTTTTCTATTTTCAGAGCCCTATTTGCAGACTGTAATGCAGATACATTGTAGTCATTAACACCACTGTAGTCCAAAAGCTGCTTGCTTACAATACTTGGGCAAACATGAAAAATTGATTTTTATCACAGCCTCATTAAACACGTGCTTTACAAAGTGGCAGTGTTGAGTGAGGACTATGTAGCCTTCTGGAGCCCACTAAAATGTAATCATCCTTAAAAAAAATGTTGCTATGTAAGGGTGTGACAGTATTTATACAAGCAACTTTTAGGGCCTGAATCTCTCATTACTGTGGTGCTGCTGGAATCATTCCTGAAGTCAATAAATGTAAAAGTACCTCAGGATTTGATCTTAAGTTCATGGAATTTAATGAAAAAACTGTAAAAAAAAGAGATGGAATAAGCCTCTGAGTAGTGTCAAACCACAATTTTTTTATTTTACTAGCAAAAGTACAGACTTTTTTTTTTTAATGTTACTATTTGGCAAGGGTCTTCATCAGTTCCCTTGAATAACAAGTTTTTATAGTGGATTTCAGTCAGACGGTGAATTTAATATTTTTAAATACTTGAACCTTGTGACACTAATTTTTTTCCAGGGGAAAAAACTCCCCACTTTTCCCGTGAATCTACTTTTTTTTCCCCCCCTGTTCCACAATTAGGTTTTTGCTTTCTGATAAAAACTGCTGGAACATTTGAGAAAGAAGTCTGTCCTTATTTTGCTATTTTTTTGACAAAACAGAAATTGCTGTCAACCAGATAGTGCTAGGCACAATCCTCTTTCACCTCAGGGCCTTAAATATGGCATTCTAATGAGGATTATGATTTACCTAACTAAAAGGTTATCTGTAAAATGAAGCGACCCTGTTTCTTTTGGCGTGAACACAGAACCGAGTGCAGTACCACGGTACCTACCGCAACTGGGTATTGCATGCTTCCCCCAAGAAGGAGAGGTCTAGTAATTAATTCTGAGGACCAGCCCTGGGACTGGTAGATGTAGATCCTAGAAAAATGGTGAGGAAGCTGTCCCATGTGTTACACTTGACACACACTTATCTTCTGAATGGGCGCCGTATTTATTCACCACACTTTGGTAGGCAGTGGATGCAGTACCAGGTCAAACGTAGGCCAGATCAGTAAAGAAAGTCACTTGAGCAGCCATTTCTTGACAGATGTGGAATAAAATAGTGGCCCAAGCCTTGAGTGGAGATGAAAACCTCAAGCGGAAGAATATGGAACTTGTAGCTGCAGTGTTGCTAGTTGTGGTTTGGCTTAGACCAAACTAGACTACGTTATAAATTATGGAAGGTAGTAGTTCATGTCCTGCAGTGGAATTAGTTTTTGGGCTCACATCACCCCTAATGGGCAGGTATCCCCACCTGATAAATTTAAATCTCATTTGACTCCAAATGCGACGCTTTCTACTGTTCTCAGACTTAGCTCTAGCACTAGAAAATTGAGAATTTTTAGCTGTCCTCCATATTTATAGACCATTGGTAGAGGCACACCAGCTGCTTATGTGGCATTTTGTATATGGGATGTCATTGTCCAGAGTCATCAGTTCAGAGCCATCCTTTCACGCAGAAAAGCAATCCGTAATGTTGTTTAGTTTATTAGACTCTCTGAAAAATTAATATACATCATAAATAATGAAACTGAAGCCCTGGCTTCTACAAAGGTAAAATGTCATTTTTCCAATTTTTTTTTGTTGTTACTTTGTATAGCTAAATAAATGACGAGTTCTAAGCAGCCTTGTTCAGCTCAGGAATGTCCCATTGCCAACATTTGTGACTCACTCCTCTTTCTGTCCCATATGCACACCTGCCTCCTCAACTCTAACGGCTCTTTCACATTCATAACACTCACAGTAACATCCATTCAGAATGAATAGCAGTTTAGGTCCATTAATTTCAAACTGCAGTTATCATCTGCAGGCTACACAATACGTATCTAAAAGTAGTTTGAGTAATTTCTTATATGAAGGATGTGATGGATTCTTACAGATTGACACATGCTGGAAGAACAGCAGGAGCTAGTTTTGTTATCTTTTATAAAGCTAACAAGCTTTATAAGCAGGTATTTATATCATGGCATTGTGGTGATAATCAGCAGTAAATCTATGTGAAATCCCTTTTAGCAAAACCAACGCAACCCAAAGAACCATCTCTTAGTGGTGGTAGCCTAATGAATTCAGAGCTGATTAGATTTACTTTACATCTCAGTATAAAGATGGGTGGAGAAACATCCTGCTCTTCCTTCCTTCCTAAAGGAAAAACAAAACAAAACAAACAAATCCAGTCTGCAAAGTCTGCGCTAGAGAAGAAATGTTACAGCAAGTTCTGGTCAACATGGTCCTGGCAGCACAAATCCATTTGAAACTCCATGACTATTTTGGCATGGTGGGAGAGAGTTACTAAAAACAGGGCTGTCTGAGGAGCTCTACGACCGATGGTGGCCACACTGTAATGAACCTTTGCCATTATCAAGCACTCCCTCATAGCTAAGTGTTTACAGTCTTTGACAGCAGTTTAAACTCTACCATAATCCCAAAGTTTGAACTGTGAAAAATTTTAAGTGAAATATTTTAAAGCTAGCAATTGGGAGCGAAAGCTGAAATTCGCTGCTGGCTTTCGTTCTGCCTTACTTTCTGGTATTTTTTTTTTTTTTAATTAAGAACTGCTAGTACCTTTAATTTTGGGGCATGGTATTTAGTCAACACTGAATATTCTGCCGCAGCTCCCTCCATTTCCAGGCCTTGTGGCTGAAGTCTGAATCTTTGTCTTTAGCTTGTAAGTTGTTGTGGTTTAATACATTGTCTTCTCTTCCTGATTATAGTTAAGGCATCTCTAGACTCAGCCGTCACATCCTAAAGAGGCTGACAGCATGTGAAGGCAGAAAGTATCCTTTGATGAGAAAATGCAAATCTTAAACAAAACATTTGCAGAACCACTAATCACCATTTCCGTACAATTGCAGAATGATATGGTATTTGTTACAGAACGACTCTAAGGTAAGGCTGACTTCTTATGAGAAGTCCAGCAAATATAACGTTGCATACACACACTAGTTATTTCTGCACCAGAGGCTGAATTTTGCCTCATTGAAATTAGTGTCAGAACTTCCCCTGTGTTCCCCAATGGAACCAAGTTTTGATCTTTTTGGTCTAAATACTGCTTTGTTAGTAGTTTGAGGGATTGTGTTTTATAACAGGAACCTACCAGATGGAAAACATGCCTTTGTTGTTAAGACAAAGAATGGGATCAGGTGAGGGTGATTTGTTTTTCTCACATTTTGTTAGTTGATTCCTTTACAAAATTAGTGTATGGGTTTGATCATATTACTTAGGCAAATATTTTTAAAAGAAGTTTCTAAATTTGGAAAAAGCTATGTAGTTCTGAATCTGATGTTTAGAGATGCCGGATAACCCCATCTGTCACTAGTTCTGATGGTAATGCATTTTAAATGCCCTTTGAAATGAGGAAACTGGTCTTTCACACCTGGCTATGCAAAAGTAGATGTAGCCAAAATCACTGACCGTTTTTGAAAGCGTTGTTCTTATTTTTACTTCTAGTTCTTTGAGTTTACTGTAATAGTTATATTTATTAATTAATAAATTAATTAATGTTTGCAATACCATTGGATTAAAAAATGTGTATGTATATGTACATACACACGCACACACACACAGATATATATTTCAGTCAGCCTATTTGTTTGTTTGGTATTTTTATATGCTTCACTTATTTAGTTCAACTTCTACCGTGCCACCTACAGGGAAAAATAATTTAATTTAACAGAAGCTGTTTTCATTCTAAGCAAACCTTGATTTAAAGCTGTGGGGGTTGTAATTGCATTTAATTGCAATGAGTTTGAGTTATGAAAAAACCTTTTCAGTCAGGTTTGTATTTTGAAAACCCACATCAATTCATGGTGGGCCTAAAGACTGGTATGCCATTGCGTTAGTCTCCATTTTATTTCTACCAGTAGAGCGTGGCTAGAAAAATGAATCCAATACGAGGTTCAGCATATGACATTTCTCTGTGTTAATAAAATCTGGGACTTCCAAATATGCAGTGACTTAGATACACTCTCTCTCTGATTTGGATTCCCCAGAAGTAAGGAAAATAACAAAGCAAAAAATCCTTTCTTTCCTCTACATTACAGAAACCATACCAGGAGCTAAGACAGAGAAAGCCAAAGGTCTGGTTTGCTGATGGAAGCCAAAGTAAGGTAGGGGATTTTTGCCTTCCTTGCAGGGTATTTTTGCAGTGCTAAATGAAGAAGAGGTGAGGCATATTGAGAAAAATAACCTGCATGAGTCTTATCTGCATTGTCTGCAGAAGAATGTGCTGTGTATTCAAAACAAGGGATTTATGTGAGTATGCATATATGAGTATGTACATCTAAGGTAGTCACTATGCTTTGTTTATCGGATCAGATGGATTGACTCGTTACAGTCAAAAAAATTGAAGGTGTGATCAGTCTCATCCTAATGTAGATCAACCAAAGTAAGTCATATGAATCATCTTAAAATGCTTATTTTTTCTTCCTCAACTGTAAAGAAAGCCTAGGTTAACTAGCCCAGATACAGATATCTATGCTGTAGGTGATCAAAATTAGATGAGATGAAGCCCACCCAAAATATTCACAGCCTAGAAATATCTCTTGATCCTGGGTTGATAAAGTAGACTGTAGTATGGCTGGTCTGATTCTGCCCAGTCTCAGTCTTTCCAGGGCACATGATTGAGAAATTGGTCTATGCTGAAAAGTCAATGGCCATCTTTCAGATAGAGGCTTAAAGATTTTAGGGATAAATTTATGTCTAAGGGCATGCCTGCAAGTAAGCAGTGTGCTTATACTTGGGCTTAAATGTTGGCATAGACCTCCCAAAGAAAAAAAAGGGGAAAGAAACATTATCTCCCTCCAGAACCTGCCTCCCTTCTGCTCAGTCTTGGCCACTGGGCCAGTTTGCTCATAGGCTTTGCTGCCAGTAAAAGGAAACAGTGTTTATTAGAAATTAAGTTTAAGAAAAGAAAGTATGTGGGATATACAGCTGTCCCAAAGGAAAACATCCCAGGAGAAGGATGTTTGATCTGGGAAGCTTTGGTTTTAGATTTCCAGTGTAGGAACATAATTTGGAAAGGGTTGGGGTCATATTGAATAGGGGCAGAAAGGGTACCTGCTAAAAGTTGCTTCTGTTAAAGAAATGTTGCATCTTTTACTAAGCCAATTATATAAGAAGCTCGTTCTTTCAGTAAAGTGGTTCCACGTTATTAAGTCCAGAGAGCATGTACTTAGCAAAAGCCAAATACTGAGAAGATTAACAAAGGTTAAGTGTATATTTTTTATTAGGAACAAAAAAGTTTGGAGGAATCCGTGTGTGTGTGTGGAAAGGAATATTCCGACCTGTATTTTTGTAGTCTTTCTGGGTTCGTTCCTTCTGACTTCAGAATTATCTTTCTTTTTTATTTTCTTGAATTCCAGACCAACCCTTTAACTTAATCTTCAATCTTGCACTGTCTCAAAATTGAGACTGGTCTTGCCTTTTTCCATCTTCTTCCTCCTTCCAGCTTTATTTTCAGAATTTAACTCAGGATTCTCTAGTAATTTACTATGAATTCACTGTTTTGATCAAGATGTATAGCCACACTTTCTGCAGTGTTCTAAACTTGTTATTGCAGTCTTGACTATGTATTATATAACGAATTAGATCTCTGGAAAGGAATCTTATTCTTGATTTCATCAATATTAAGTCTCCATTACATTAGACTTATTCAACTCAGAGTATGGCTAGCATTTCTCTTTTGACAAGAGATTTCCATCTGACACCATGGATGTATAGTCCATGAAGTTGTGAATGTTCTTTTAATTTGCTTCTAAAGTTACTGCTTATTTACTACAGTATTTTCAGTGAACTGCTTCCTCCAAGGAACTTGCAGGAGAGGTTGCCTCTTAGCATTGCTGTAGTCAAGCAATAGCAATTTCTTCAGTCTCCTGTAGCTTTTGTAGAAAAAACATAAAGTCTATTTCCTCTTTGGTTCTCTTCCAGCGTACTGTTAAGATCAGAAGTTATGGGTTTCTAGTCTCTCTCTGATGTAGATGTCTTTCTTGTGATTTGTTTATCACAAAGTATCACTGCTGTCTCCTTTGAAGATTCTGTTAAAGCTGCACAGAGTTCCCCATCCACACTTTTCTGATAGGGTGTTTCATGAGATGAATAGAACATTCTCCAGGTATATGGGAATTTCCCACTGTAACTCCCTCAGGTACTTTTCTGATCATCTGTTCTCTGAATCCTTTGCCAAAAGTGCTCTTCTGTGTTTCTTCTTGACTGTGCACCACTGATCTGTTTGACTTCCTGCTATCAAGCATTGTGCTGTTCCAGTAGTGCCTCATTCAGTTCTCTGATTCTGCCTATTAACCTTTCTTTCCCTGGCCTATAGGTACGGAAGAGGAATTACAAAATTATTTATGCCGGTATTTATAAATCTTATCCTCTCCTCCTCTAATTTGGGGTCTAACTGAAGCAGGCAACGTCTGTTTTAAATGGGAATTAAGTTAAAATCAGAATTCTACAACCTAACTGGGTTATTCATAGTTTGAAGTTGACTAAAAGTAACTAGGTATTAAGTCCTTCAGTGGTGGAGGAGTTCATTTGATGCTAAATGCTAATATACTTCAAAGTTACAGGGAACAGCTTAAAGTCAAGCCAGTGCTTGTGCTAAAATTGAAAGTCACCGTATCAGTGTTTTCTACTTTCAGAGTAAAACTTGACAGGTCTCCTGAAATACCTAGTTCAAATACATAGTTTGCTACTGACTAGTAAGCTGTTGTTTCCAAAGCTGGTGGAAACAGTTTTCATTCTTGCTGCCTTCCTAGTGATTGATTTGTTTCTTTTTGTTTTTCTTTCAGAGAACTTAATTGCGCTATTTTTTCAAAAAGAAGCATATCAAATGTCACTATATTAGCATAATCATAAAAATGTCAAGTGTTCAGTGCATTTGCAATATGTCATAGCTCACTACAGAACATATTTTTTCATATGATTAACATTAATCTCTGAAGCATGCCTTTGAATGGGAAACTCCTGAAAAGGTGACAAGTGGTTGCTACAAATTATTCCCATTAGAAGAAGAGTTTGTCCCTAAAGCAGGATAATGTTGGCCCTTAAAAGCAGGAGATACTAAAGGGATGCACGGATATAAAAGATTATTGAAAAAGAGGAGAGGTTCTTGATCTTGTAGCTGTGCAACTGTATGTTGTGTCTGGCTGACTCCATTGATCTCCACATGCAAGAACTTGGAAGCACGGACCACAAATTTCAGTGCCTCTCATAATCCTGATTCTCCCATTTTTGTCATGGATAGTAGCATTTTTTATATAGGTGGTCATTGACTAATGCTATCTATTTAAGGCAATTAGACAAGTTAAAAAAGCATTGGTTACATATTAATAAATGACTGGTTTTTGTTCTTTGTATCTGTAGATAGTTTCTGTCCAAAGGACCTTTATCTCTCCTGGCTGTTACAGAGCCAGCTAATTCAATACAATGAAATAGTTTCAAATTTGGAGGTGGAATCCCAGCTTCTCATCAGTGCAGCAGTTTTCTTCCCAACTTCCTATTTTGGATCCTGTCCAGAGCTCTTCCACTTGATTCATGAAAGCTGATCTTCATTCAGCTCACGAGTGTAACAGTAAGAGAGACTGTTACCTTAACAGATTCCTTGACTTTGATTTTTCTGTGCGTGAAAGGACAATCAGTGCACCAGAGTGTAGACACGGTTTGCAGCGTTCTGCTCTTGGCCGAGGGGGAGGTAAGCAAGCCTACCGTGAATGGGGATGGCTGATCCTTGCAGCCTCTGAGCCTCTGGCTGTAGGTTCTGCTAAGGAGTATCCTGGAGTGTCACAGGAGAGCTCTGTCTTGCTTGCTTTATTTAGATGTGCCTTTTGCACATTTGCACTTGTGGAAATACAATGGAATATAAATAGGACACACAGCTGGGAAATGTGCTGGGAAGCAGGTAGCTTTCTCCCTGTAAATGCTGTGTTTATATAAAGTGATAGACTTGCAAGCCCGTCTGTTTATGCTGAAGACAGAAGCTTTGCGGATAGCCTTTCCTTTCTGTCCTCCAAATGCATCCTTAGTCCTTTCCATTTCAGAAGTAGAAGTTATATCTCCCTGCCTGTTAGTTCATTGTCCTGTCTTACAGGACAGCTGAAACAGTGTCAGCTAATGCCAGTGTCATGGTAACGTGGCATAGATGGATGCTCACTGGTTTTGGACTGCAACAGTTTACTTCACCTAAGCTGTCAAAGTGCCTTCAGGTATTAATGATCATTGATCGTCACTGGATAAGAACTGACAACTGATAGCTGAGTCTGCATCCTGTGACTAGTATTGTGGCTTCATGCAGTCCCTGGAGGTTACTTCTGATCTGCTTTTTCCTTCTCCTGTTTTCTGCAACTAACTGTTTGAACCCTACAGCGTGTTTAGCATTCATTGACAGAGGACACATGCAGCTGCATGCACCTCTCCATTGGCAGGAGGAGGAAGGAAGATAATGAAGGCTAAACTCTGAGAACGGAAAGCAAATGCTGGGAAGAGATGCACAAACACACACCACTGCAACGAAGAGGATGGTGTTCTGCTTGCTCATTCTCCTTCAACTCTCCTTATATTCTTCTCTACCCTATGACAAGTTTGATTTCCTCCCCTGTTATTTTTGAACACCTCCACCCTTTTCTAGTCCACTGGATATCACTTCGTATTCCTTGAAGTGATGACGGGATTATGTCAGAGATATCAAAGGAAATGGCTTTGGCAGCAGTAAGCAGTGATAATAAAACAGTTGCAAGTCATATTTTGTAATCCATCTGCTGTACATCCAGGCCCCAAGGATGGATTCAAATGTACAAGTGAATATTTCAGAGAGCATTCCACATAACTGTGCCATAGAAACAACCTCCTTCAAAATCTCGAGCACTGAACTGTTTGTAACTGCCTGTGTAATATGCACTTTTCCGACCATTAAATTCTGTTCTCTGAGACAAGAGAGTCATTTTCAACAAGTAAGAACAGGTCCTGCCCTTACCGCAGGGGTGCGAAGAGCTAGCAGCAGAGAAGTTGCGATTTCCCTTGTAGCAGTAAGGCCAACAGAAACAAGCAGAATTCAGGTATTGAAAAGCATACACAAAAAATCATTTCTTGCATGTTAAAAAAAGCAGGCAGCTTTCTAAATTATTTGCAGGTGTCTTTATTTTATTCCACCTATAAAGATAAAAATGATGGCAGATTTTTCTGAAGTCTTCCTTTAGAACGGATTTTGGAGACAGTTTCCAGGTAATATGCATTTTCTATTCAGCAAGTCATCTTATATCATGTAAGCTTCCTGCCCTGCTCCCACTGAAGCCAATGTAAGATTTGACATTGACACTGTGAAGAGAGGAGCAAAATATTTCATTCACAGTGTGCTCTCAGACCTGATGGTGGGGGTCACATGGGCCTTCATACAACAACACCCGCACTGCAGGTTGTTAGCAGAGCAGCCTCTGCACAGCCAGCGCTGTGTTCTGGTCTCGTGTGGCCCTGTGGGAAGTGGTCCCCAAGATGCCTTTGCAGGCAGCAGAAGGGAAAGAAGGAAAGAAAGGGGGCTCAGGATGTATGGGCATTTATTTGAGGGACAGCAGCTGCTCCTCTTTTCTGCTGGATAAGGCAGCGTAGCTCACGAGTTGCTCTTCCTTATTGCTCCTCCTGTGCCCTGGAATCACAAAGGATGTATGAGTTGCATTGCCAGCTAAATAGTCAGATGTTTTGGCTGGATTTGTAGCCTTATACATTACAACCTAGATATCCCCAACCCGCACCCTGATCTGTTAGCTAAAATGGAGGTTGTCACACCTGTATCTGCAGATGATTCATACTGCTGCCTTCTTTCTTCCCTGTGGGAGACTACTGGATTTTATTCTTTACTTCGTGCACACTGTGTACGCTCAGAAAGCACGACTATCTTTGCATTATGGCCTTATATGGAGTCAGTCACTTTTGCATGTCAAGAATAAAGAGGAAATGTATAAACAAAATGGGAAGCATGGTAAGATGTCAAGGAAGGGAAAACAAAAGTGTGTGATCCAGACTGTTACATCTCTTTGGGGGTGACTGTACTGAGATATGGATTGAAGGGAGAGACTATTTTGTTATTACTTCTCAGAACAAAAAGATGAAAAATTGCCTTGCTGGAGGCCAGTTCTCCTTGTTGCCTGTTTCATATACAGATGATTTGTCCCAGTGCGCAGGGACGTGTCCCTCAATGTTGAGGCATTTTCCTTGTGTGTCTGATAATTGGTGTCACTTTGGAGTGGTTTTACTCCTCCCCTTGTGAAAATTTCATCTTGTATTTTATTCTTGGTGCCTAATACCTCCATGGTGAGTGACATTTCACTAGGCCTGCTACCCAGGATACTGCCTCTTCTGAACTCAGGGAGAAGGCTACACACAGGAAAGGCCTATGAAACGAGTACCTAGGGGGAAATAGGTAATTAAGACAGTTGAGTAAAGAAGGACACATCAGAAATAACGATTTAACAAAGTACGTGTCTAGGAACCAGAAATAGGATCTGGGGAGGAGGGGTTTCAGGTGAACTCCTAAATAAGAACAGTCATCTTTATACTGGATCCTCGACTTGTTGCACTCTGGGCTGCTCCTTCCTCTCTGGCATCTTTCCAGGGCAGATGGTGCAGCTCGGGCTGTGTGGCCTGAGGCAGAGTATTGCAGTAGCATGCTGCTAGCTGGTTTAGCAAAAATTACTGCTGCTTTTTTTTCTTTTTCTTTTTTTTTTCCCTTTTCTCTTCTCTCCCCATGTAAGTGTAAGGTAGGGTCTTGGTAAGGTCTAACTCTGGACTTAGTGTTTTTCCTTGGCTGATGGCAACAGACTGTGTCTTTTCCTGTCTTTGGATGCTGGTCTGACGGTTGGTCAGTGTTATCAATGATTCTCAAAGCAGTAAGGAGTACTTGCCTGTCATAGCCTCCTTTTCCCCTTTATGGCCCACCCAGAAAACTAACCAGGCAGACAGCCCGAACAGAGAATTACAAGGAAAATGTTATTCTGTCCCTTTTTTTTTTCCCTTTACCCAGTCAGCCCAGTCAGGCTTTCTTTCATTAATTAACTTGCTGGAGCCTGTGCAAGTCTGGATTCTGCTTGATCCAGTCGGTTGCTCTGAAGGCCATGTAGAACAGCAGTTTTCTAGTGGTATTAGCATTTTCTTCTGTCCCAGGCAGGCTGAATCTGTATTTCAGTGAGTCTGGTACTCCCCCCAGTAATGTTTTGAAGCACCATCAGTTAATGGAGCGTCCTGAAGACCACTGGTAGTAGCTGTAATTCAGTAGGTGGTGGTTGCACATTTCTAAAGTAGGGAAGAGTGGGACCCTTTTCCTAACGCTGTTTTTTCCCCCATATTTAAATTGTTCATAGTTCTGTTATACTTACATGCCAGTCTGAGGCTTCCACATCTTTGCTAAGATTGTTTTTGCTTAGGTCTGAAGTAGAGGGTCTAATTTTAGATATGTAATTATGCTATTTTCTCCTACAAAACTACTAAATAGACAAAAAAGACATTTCTTCAGGATATTCTTCTAATTTGGATTCCACCTCTTTTCTCTAGAATAATTTTAGGAGTGTTAAAATGATGTCACTGAATTTGAACAGTAGCAAAGCTGAGCCCCAAACAGAGAAATATGCAGTCTTTCTCAAGACATGTTGAGACATCCCCCTGCAGCTGTGATGGGCTATCAGCACAACATCTCCACCCACTCACCAGAGGCAACCTCTTAGAGGAAACTTTGTCTTCAGACTTTAGTTGTATATCATCTATTCTCAGCTAGTGTCAAAAGACCTGGGAGCTTTCTGCCTGTCTGCTGGGAGCATTGATCCATTCACTACAACTGAGTGCAAGATGTGAAGTCTTTCCTTCTCTTGTGCTCTCTCTCTCTCTTAAAAAAAAAAATAGCTGTCAGTATTTCAGAAACTATAAGCAGCAGATCTTTGTGTACTTTAATCCATAAATAAACATTTCTTCTTTTGAACTTCATTAAAATTGGATGTGTTTTCACTGTAAAACACTCCAGCAACCCTATCATTTAGACATATATGGTGATGAATATTGCAATTAATTTTTGTCTGTAGAAATACTTGTGGTCTAGAAATACTGAATTTATGCCAAAAAAGTAAATAAGAGTCAAGCAACAAGATATATTGCTTATAACAGCAATTTAAGAGCAAGATATTAAGCTCTGTTCCTGCTACTTAAACAGGCTGGGCTAAATGTGTCTTTCTTGTTATGACCTGGCTTGCAGGGAAGTTGTAGAGAGGTGCGTTTGGTTTGCCTTCTGCAAGATTATATCCGACTTTCTTTGGTAATACCTGTTGATATATCACATTCAAATCTCCAGCTTTTCCTCTTATGACTTTGACACGAAGAAAGGAATTCCTGCTTTTAAATGCTCATCAGTCAGTGCTGCATAGTTAAGTTGATAAAAAAGCTAAGGCTAAGCCAGTGTTAGCGTAGCCAACTGTAACACTACTGACAATACTCGTCAGCAAATGATTTTAATTAGAGCAACATAGCGAGATCAGTAGATTAAGGTTAAGCAAATGACTAAAACTAAAGAGTGATGCTGATGACAAACAAATCCTGATGAGAGTAAGGATGACGTTTTTGCCACTGATGTTTGAATAACATGTGGGAAAGGAGAGACAATTGTAATCACATGAGAAATCACTTAATGTTGGTGCTCAGGAATGCTATGTTGATCCACCTGATGCCAGGAAGCCTTGCAAGTGCTGTGTAAACTCCCTGCGTAGCCCTGCATGTCGGTAACGCCACTCCCTTGGCACTGGCAGAGATTGTTTGTGTACTTACCTTATGTGCCATACAAGAAACTAGTTCTGGGGAAGGGTGGTGAAAGGTTAAAATGAAAAGGCAGCAGGTACTTGTATTGGGAAAGGGACAGTAGAAGGGCAAGTGGACTGGGGTCTGTTTAAGTTTATGGCTGTAATTAAGAACATGTAGGGGGAAAAATAGGTGGAGAAAGAGGCAGAGGAACTTGCAGTAACTTTTTAAAAAAGAAATAAGAATGGAGAGGCAAAAAGAAAAGAATCATCTGTTTTAAGCTGACAGCTGTGTTTGAGAGTGGAAATGTCTAGATTAAATAACCCAGCACTGTACTTTTTTCTTCCCTTTCTCTCTCTACAGAGCTTCTTTGTCCTAGTTTCTGATGAAGTATTCTGGCCCCTGTTTTATTTCCCCGTTCCTCCGTGTGGTCTTCCTGAGACCTCTTGGCAGAGAGAGGGTTTCACAGCCTGCAGTGTTAATTCTGAGAAGTGTGAAGGAAGCTGAACCATGCTGGATGATGTGACTCACCTTGGAGAAGTTGGTATTTTCCAGCTGAGTGAAAGTGGAAAGTTTCAGCCTTGCTAGTCCAGATGTTTTAATGGACGTTGCTGCAGTAGAGAAACCTTTGTTTGTGCATCCTGCTCAGCACTGAATAGGAGAGTAACAAGTTACACAGTAGCATAAATGTTTAATGATTTATGATAAAAAAACCTTAGATGGTGAGCAAAATACTAAGTTAATTGACTATGGAGTCTTAAATTCCTCCCAAAATAGTATTCCAGCCAAATATGGCTGAAATATCAGCTGTCATCTTATGAATATTTTAAAGAGGATTCTATTATACACCTAGGGGTTCATTCGCTTCAGTAATGAGGACAGTTACCTCTAGGGAAAGGAAGCTGTATTATGCTTGCCACTTAACCAGGGGCTGGTTTGACAGGCATCAGCTCAGAATATATGTGTATATATAGGGAATCACAGCTGCTTGTGTCTATCTCACCGAGCAGGCAATGTTGTGCTGTACAATACTTTGGATTTCTATCTGTGGATCTATGCATGGCACTGAGTGGGATTCATACTATTTTTATTCCTGAGCTCAGTTGTTGAGGTGGAATCCATCACCTACTAAATATTAAATCAGCAGTTTTTTTAAGGGGTAACACTATCTCTGCTGACTTGAACATCCTTATGTGGCCCAGAGGAAAAGAGAAACAAAGACAAGATGAGAAAACGATCATCCTTTGCATTCTTCTTAATATTAATGATTTCTCTAAAGTTTTCAAACTGCTGAAGACAAGAAGTGAGACAGAACTTTCACATGGGTAAGAAATGACCCAGGTTAGAAAAAAAAAAGCATAAATTATAAAAACAGCAGTGAAACTTCTGGAGTTTAATTCTTTGTTGGAGAGAATGGAGAAAATGCATCAGCTGATTCTTTAAAACCATTTTGTTTAATTGTTTTATTTTTTAATTTATTTAACTCAACCAAACATGGTTGGAAATTATTAGGAATGGGTCTATTCAAAAATATTTGAAGAGTTCCATGCAAGCATGCTTTATAATAGTTTTTGCACTGAGTATTGTTTCTGAAACCTGATGTCTGCAAATACTGAAGTTTTGAGATATCTGCCCAACTTGTATGGTATTGTCCATCTTGTCAGACTGCATGGAATTGGATATAGTTACTTCTTTTTTTTTTTTTTTTTAATTAATGGCTGTACCTCATAGGCGTCACTCAAAGGCAGCAATTTGGCGGGTTTCTGAATAAGCGTTTCTAATATCTCTCTAGGTTCCTATAGGAGTACTCATCATGCACCACTGCACAACTAAAAGCTCATCTCTATTACTCCCAAAGACTGTGCACAAAAGTTACTTCTATGAAAAAGGCCAGTCACCTCACCTCAGTCCCTAGAACTGTGATAGAGCTACTGATCCTGGATACTATTTCCAGACACATGAAGGACAGGAAGGTAACTGGGAATAGTCAGCATGGATTTGTGCAGGGGAAATCATGCTTAACCACTCAGTGCCTTCTGTGATGAGATGACTGGCTTGGTGGATGAGGAGAGAGCAGTGGATGTTGTTTACCTTCAGTAAGGCTTTTGACACTGTCTTCCGTAACACCCTTGTAGACAAGCTGATGAAATAAGGCTAGCTAAGCAGTCAGTGAAGTGGACTGAAAACAGGCGGAGCCGATGGGCTCAGGGTTGTGATCAGTGGCACGAAGTCTAGCTAGGGGTCAATCACTAGTGGAGTACTCCAGCGTTGATACTGGGTGCAATAGTGTTCAGTGTCTTCATTAGTGACCTAAATGATAGGACTGAGTGCACCTTCAGTAGGTTTGCAGACCTTACAAAACTGAGAGGAGTGACTAATACCCCAGAGGGCTAGGCATCGGAGGGATTTTGACAGGCTGGATAAATGGGCAGCAAGGAACCTCATAACGTTCAGTAATGATGGGAATTGCAAAGTCCTGCACCTGGGGAGGAATAGCCCCATGCTCCAGTACGGGCTGAGGCCTGACCAGCTGGAGAGTAGCTTTGCAGAGAAGGACATGGAGGTGCTCTTGGACAAGTTGAACATGAGCCAGCAAAGCGCCCTTGTGGTAAAGAAGGCCAACGATATCCTGGGTTGCATCAGGTAGACTGTTGCCAGTAGGTCGAGGGAGGTGGTCCTTCCCTGAGGGGAAGGACCTACTCAGCACTGGTGAAGCCACATTAGGAGTGCTGTGACAAATCCTGGGCTCCTCAGTACAAGAAAGACATGAACATACTGTAGTGAGTCCAGCAAAGGGCCACAAAGATGATTAAGGGCTGGAGCACTGACAGATGCTCTCATATGAGAAGAGGTTCAGAGAGCTGGGACTCTTTAGCCTGGAGAAGGGAAGGCTCAGGGTGATCCTACCCATGCCACTCTTTTCAGTGGTGTCCAGTGACAAGGCCCATCCCAGCTTATCCTATGGTAGAAGAATTCCAGTGCTTTGTTTAATTTCAAATAATTCTCTGTGTTTAGCCAGAGAAATTATCTAGCTTTCAAAATACAAGTGATTTGTTCTGATACCCTTTGTTAGGTAAACTGACCCCTCAGAGGTGAGAAAGGGACAAAATTAAGTTGATGCGTAATTTAAGGAGACTTGTTAAGTTGATGCCTTTGCATAATTCCCATACATTTTTTAAGAGCATGTTACATATACATCAGTTTGTATGAGTCACAGAGTTGCCACCATGAATGCTGTGTAAAAAATGTGAAAATCTTAGCTGCTCTGGGGTGGTAGGTGTGCAGGAATGTTAAGAAAAAGGAAAAAAATCTAATATGAGAAAGAGGATGGCATGAGTGAGACTAGGATTTAAAAGGGTGTCTGGGCTTTAGTATTCCCAGTCTATAGATCTGAATCTTTAAGAGCTGTATGGATTCCTCCCCTGTATAACTCCTCATATGCACGGGATGTTTTAATCACTGGCTGTTTACAGTTATTTTTTGCACTTTGAGATAAGGGTTAAATAATCTTAAAATGACCAGCGAATTAATGGAAGAGTTAAAACAATGTAATCTTTGCTGCTTTAGCAGAGATCATGCGAAGCAGAGTGTGATTGATATGAGCAGGGGTCAAAGAATTCAGAGGCGTATGGTGGCAAAAGCAATAAACAGATGATGTAGAGGAAGACAAAAGCACTTTGGTGCTGAGAGTAGAGTTGCACTTCCTGTCTTAGAGTGCTGGGTAGCCCAGATATACGACTGTCATATTTAGCCTCAGGTGTGAACATATTCCAGTGCAAGGTAATGAAGAGAATATATATTATGTAGAGGTCTTCGTGATCCTACTTGTTCATACATTATTTACATTATTGTTTCTTTTGTGGTTAAAAAGGAGACTAAATAAAATAATGCTTTTGTTTCAATGAAATTTTGTATTTCTGGATTTTGTAAAAAATTTTTTGTTTTGCCTGATGTGATATTCTGTTATGTTAGGAATGTAAGACCTTAATGTAAGAAGGTAAATCAAGCCTTGGGAAGTTTGGGAAGGTTGAACGAGGTTATTTCCTTTCACTTTAAAGACAGCATTGCCTGTTTCTTCAGATTGTGATCAAAAGTAGATGAATATTTCCAACATGGATTAAGGAACATCATTCAGCATAGAAACTATTAATTCCTTCCATAACATTGCTTAATTTCGATTCCATGATAAGTAACATTCCTTATAGTTGTGCTCTGCAATCACTTGAACAGACAGTGCTAGGGAATACTAACATCTCATATGGGCTATTGTTTCATGGGTAGTGTCTGCATAGCCTCCTTCAGATAGCTTCCTTGGGAAGTCATTTATTTGAGAAGTAAAAACAGCATCACGTAATTCAGTTTGTTTGCACTATGGTAACAGTAAATTAGGAGAATGGAAATTTGGAGTGGTAAGCAAATATTTGAGCAAAACAAATAATGTAATCCCACAAATCTGTAAAAATTATGGTGCATGTTGATTAGGTAATTTTAAAAAAAAGGCTAAATCCACTGAGATTGAAAATTGGTGGTAACACTGAAAACGCCAGCCCGAAGAACTCTCTTTCAGCTTTTAAAAAAATGATTCCATACTGTCCTCTTCCACCCGATTCCTTAGCCCTTTGGCACATCTTAGATTCGATTCACTACAAAGAAGTAAGGGAATAATTTCTACTTGGGGAAAAGCACTCAGAAACAGGATGCAGGCCTGAAAGTAGTCAGTTATCTTTAGGTGAGATTCAGCAACATGATAGCTGCCTCCAGCGGCCAAAATGGAAATGTGGAACATCTGCAAAGAATCCCCTCCTCAAGCTGCTGTCAGTGATACCATTTGAGGAGCTCACATATACATGCTTCATGTGCGCGCACCTAGACACGCTGCCTCACACTAGCAATTGGTTTGAGTATGTTTACTTATGCTGCAATGGGCAAGAATGAGTGACCATTAATAATCGTATCTAATCTCTAAAAGATCCTGTGGAAGGAAACAAGCAAGCAGTAGGAACATGCTGCTACTAGTCATAATGAAGATTTCTGGAAACAATGGGAGATTTGGCGAAGTGAGTCATTGGCATGTCAGTCCCTACATGAAAACGTCGAAAGAAAGATAGTTGAGCACAAACTCCTAAGTTTGTCCTCCCGCAAAGGTGTCAGCATCAACCTTGCACCAGGGTCTTGCTTAGGAACAGTATGACTGACATACTGTCTGCCTGAGATCTGTAGAAGGCTTATTTAATTGCCACGTGTACCTATCCCCCTTTTTGTTCTTAACTGCCTGCTCGTTTTTCTTTCCAGCTCACTGTTATAACCACAGATTTTAGCCAGGAGCAGCTAGAATGACAGAATCCTATAAAAGGGGCTCATGGTTGGAAGTAGAGCACTACATGCTGAGCGTTGCCTGCCAGCGTTTTACTTGGATTTTAAGTGTATGGGGGAAAGTAAGAGTCCTCATCTTTGTTTTTAATTAATGCAGACACCATTTTCATTCTGAAGTGTCACACACTGGAAATCAAAGGAGCCTTGTATAAATAATAAGAAAAAAAGGGTTCTCTCGATTAGTAATGGAAAACATTTTCAAACACGATCTACAGAATTACGATAGGGCTGGCACTTCCTCAAGGTGAAAGTCTCTCAAAATCATAACATAAATTATTGATTTGTCCAAGTCTATTCTCCATAGGAGATTTACAGTCTCATTTTCATAGTTTTCTTAAGGAGGGAGGGGGAAGAGATTGTTATCTAGGTCAGAATGAAAGCGTCTTATTTTTGCAAAATAATAATAATAAAGATCTGTTTTAGCTAAAGTGAGCTGCTATGCTATGAAATTAGGGGGCTGACTGCTCTCACATTTGCATAATGGCAGGAGTAACTCCATTTAAGCAGGTAGATTTACAACGGTGCAAGTGTAATCAGAGTTGTGTTAATATCACAGCTTAGATACAAAAGAAAGATTATTGTGAACAGTAAGCTAACAGTAAGATGTCTGGCCTTCTCTGAATATTTATGCTGGTAAAAATTTGCTTCAACAAAACAAAACCTCACAAAGAAAGAAGAAAAAGTGGAGAGTATGAGGATTGTGATAAATTAGAAGGGAGTGAGATAAAAAACTGTCCCTTTTATGTTACCACCTTGGTTGTAATACAGCAGTTAAAAAAGCAGGGAAATGAATGAAAGGATAAGTAAGGTAGTGTGGCATATCAACGAAAGCTAAGAGCTCTTGGAGAGCTTGCTACGAGTGGCGACACTTCCTTGGATCCATGAAGGGGCCTGGCTACCAAGAGACTGAAGAGAGTGAAAAACAGAATAGAGTAGTCAGCTATTAACCTCCCAAGACAGGAGAAGGGGGTAACTTCATACACAGCAGGAGAAGGAGGGAGAAGGTGATGAGCAGAGACGTACTAATCAAGGTGGTGGTGGTGTTCATGCAGTGCTGTCCCACCTTCTAGGGTGAGGGAATGCAATAGACTGTAAAAGCGTATTTGCATGATGAGGAGGGTTAAAATTTATTATTAAAATCAATTTAGGAAGGATCAGTTAAGGAAAAAACAAAGCAAAACAAGATTAGTGCTGTATGCCAAAGAAGAAGAAGGTATACAGGTCTCCAGTGGACTCACAAGCTGAAGCTAGTATTTGTTGATCAGAGTTCTAAAATAGAAAAACACAAGAAAGAATTTGAATGGCATCTACTGTGGAGGTAACAAAAGACCAAGTGTAGTGCCCCTCAAAAGTACCTTTCTAGGAAGGAAAATACATTGTCTTGTCATGACAGACTTTAGTCTGAGCAATGTGTTGGAAATATTGTACTGTAACAGCAAAATTCTTTGGAATTTCAAAAAACTTTAATCATGGTTTCTTAACCTAGAAGATGTTATAGCCAAAAGAGACAGCTCTTCTATTAGACCTTACCCTAAAAGATAAAGAGGAATTATGATTGCTTAAATTCATGTGATTGTGACAGCTGCATTCATTGTATAAAGAAAGAATGAAGTTTTAATACTGTACTAGAAATATGAGTGGAAGTATATACACTGTG